TAAAAACTATTATTTTTCTTTGAAAATGTCATAAAGATGGCATTTTTACTCTTTGAAAATGTCAAATTTTCTCAAAAAATGCCCTCAAGATGGCATTCTTGACAAATATTGACATTTTTTCTGGTGGTCGGAGTTGATGTTGTTTGGAGGTTGTTGAGGCGGCGGCAGAGGCCTGCATATTTTTTTATATTTTATTCATTTTTTATTTTTTATTATTTTAATTTTTTAGATTTTTAATTAATTTTTTTTAAATAAAATTAATATTTTTGTTTTATAAGGAGTATATTTTATTATTATTATTAATAATTTTTTTTTGTTATTGTTATTATTAATATTGTTTTTATAATCATTATTATTTTACGGAGTAATTATAATTATAATTATAGAAATAAATATTATAATTATAATTACGATTATAATTATAAAAATAATAATAATTACAAATATAATTACAGTTATAATTATAGCTATAATTATAATTAGTGTACTACGTATAATTATTATAATTTTGATTATATTTATAGTTATTATTATAATTATAATTATAATTAAAAACATTATAATTATAGTTATTATTATAATTATAATTATAATTTTTTACAATTATAATTACAATTATAATTCTAGAAATGTTTAAATCAGATCAGATCAGAAAGATTCAGATCGGATCAGAAGGATTCAGATTAGAAAGACTCAGACCAGATCAGAAAGATTCACATCATATTAAATCAGAAAAATTCAAATTAGATTAGAATTTAAAAAATTCAGATCAGAAACATTTAGATCAGGTGAAGAGAACAACTACTTAGAGAAACATTTCAACTCCAAATTTTGGAGTACATGGTTTATATAGGGACACATGATTTACCTTTTTAGAGATAAATTTCATTTGTACCAATTTCATATTTGATTCAAATCTATGACTTTAACCGCATTTGATACATAGCGCCGAACACACATACCCGGAAGGACCACCACATGAGCAAGCAACAATAACTAAGTATTAAAAGCGGACAAAATAAAAAATGCAAATAAAATGTGGAATCAACATAAAACTTATAATACTAAAAATGAAATTAGTTCATTTTAAAAATAATTGGGAAAGTAAAGTTCAACAAGAGTCAACCTAAGTGGTAAAAATGCTAAGTTTTTTAAATGTCAAAACGGAGGAGGGTCTTCATATTTCCATATAATTATTGATGATATTCGAGAAATTTTGGAAACAAAGAGTCTTTTTTTCTCTTTTTGTAAATGATCTGTGAATCATGTGTCTCATGCAATAGCAAGAGCACATGTAAATCTCCCAGATCAATATAGTAGTTATGATGTGTTACGTGGGTGTATTTCTAGCTTGTTGGCTAATGATTGCTTGGATTAATAAGAGTTGTTGGATTTGATGATAAAAAAAATGATTCGGCCTCATCAAAATATTTGAATACGATTCGTATACCGTGGGATCATCCCACGGTGAGCATAATGCTCCACACCCCAAAATGACGTAGTTTTGCACATCTTTTTTTTAAAATCGTGTGAACAGTACACGCACGAACAGTACACCCGTGTACAGTAACTGTTTTTTTCTTTTATCTTGGTAGCATGAATGATGTAACTCGTGTGTAAAGAAATGTAACTCACGCCGATAAAAATGTAAATACAGGCAAATCCAAATGTAACTTGTCTAATACGGATTATAAGAAATAAAACATTGATTTCAATGAAAATAAGGAATCTAATTGCTCAATTACTATACGTAAATAGTGAATATGTTTTGTTTTTAATATTAAGACCATAAATAATGTTTTTTGTCTTTAAATCATTTTTTTACCAAAAAAATCATTTTTTGCAAACAAAAGTGATTTTTTTTGTTTCAATAGTAAGGGATTGCTTAAATAGTGAATATGTTCTGTTTTTTTATATCAAGGCCATAAAAATATTCAATTTTGCTATATGTATCCCAAATTTACCTCATTTCCTACCCCATATAAAAACCATCTCCCCTCCCCCGCTTTTCTTCTCCCCCTCCCCCACTTTTCTTCGCCTTCCCTCTCTCTCTCCTCCCTCTTTTCTTTTTACGCAGCCCCCCTCTCCCCATCTTCTCCCCTTTCTTTCTCTTTTCTCCAAATCTTGATTTCTTCTCCATTTCAACATCTCTCCATCAAGTCTTCCCATTTTTACAATCTTTTCTCCATCCAAGCTTCTTCTCCTACTTCTCGCCTCTTCTACTTTTTTTTTCATTTCAAATGCAAGAGCTACAGTAGATCTGACGAAGGGGAGAGCTGGGTGACGTTGGATAGCTTGACATGGGGAGACAACGACGAAAGTGCAGACCAAGAAGCTTTGAATGACTTGAGAAGATCTATTTTTCTTGATTTTTTTCTTGATTTTTTGGTGTGTTTTCAAAAAAAAAAGGTTGTATGTCTGACAGACAACTGTAAGTAAGTGCAGTGTCTGTATTTGTTAGTAAGACTCGTGAAGTTGTCTGTCATTTGATCGTTAGTTGTCTGTATTTGTTTCGAGTTGTCTGTCATGTTGTTGTGATAAGCCTGTAAGAGTCGTGAAGTTGTCTGTCTGTCTGTAATTGATGGTTAATTATCTGTATTTGTTTTGAGTTGTCTTTATTTGTTTTAAGTTGTCTGTATTTGATTGTGAGTTGTCTGTATTTTGTGATGTCTATTTTTTGAGATGTAATTAGTATAACGAGGCAGACATTAACTATACACATCCAGACAATAAATATACACATACAGACATTACTTTATTGTGAATTACCATGTTGGAATATGTTTCATAAAGAAGACAGACAATACTTATAACTAGACAAACAATAGAGATAACCAGACAGACATTATTTTCACCACAAATTACATACAACTCACAATGAAATGACAAACAACTAAGCATGAGTTACAGACAACTTCACAACTCAAAAACAAATACATACGACTAACAAACAAATGACAAACAATTAAATATCAATTACAGACATTTATTTTTCAAATGACAGACAATTTCAAGACTCTTACAGACACTGCACTTACAAGTTGTCTGTCTGACAGACAACCCTTTATATTTCGAAAATACATCAAAAATGAAGAAAACAAAATCAAGAAAAGAAGATTTGCCGCTCAAGTTATTCAAATCTTCTTGATTTGCCTTCGTCGTTGTCTTCCCTTGAGGTTGCATCCAAAATAGCAACCAACGTAGGCCCGGCGTCGGCAACCGGCATAGACCCACCGTCGACAACCGGCGTAGACCCGCCGTCGGCAACGTCACCGGTTGAAGTGGAGATAAGCAGAAGAAGATTTAAGGTTGGAAAGGAGAAAAATGGTAAAAATGGGAAAGTTTTTGAGATGGAGAAGAAAGGGGAAGGGAGGGGGTGCGTGAAAAGAGGAGAGGGAGAGAGGAAGAGAGGTGGGGTGAAGGAGAGAGGAAGGGGGAGAAGAAAAGTGGGGGTGGGTTTTTATATGGGGTACAATTGGGGTAGGGTTTGGGGTACCTATAGCAAAAAACTATTTTCAAAAAAAATCATTTTTTTGCCTAACAAATCATTTTTTTGCAAAAAAAAAAATTATCCGGACATTTTTTGCATAGAACCGATTCTTTTGTTTGAATAACAACGCTTTATGATGTGATGTAATTCATTTTATAGAAAATGTAACCCGCATTGATGGAAAATCTAACTTAGGTGTATGCAAAATATAACTTGTTAAAGCAAGTCTAAATGTAACTCACGTAAGAAAATGAAACTCACGCATAAAAAAGATGTAACTCACACAAAAGATGCAACTCCATATACTATCAAATGTAAAGAATGAAAACAAGGAGTCGAATTGTTCAAATTAATTTACGTAAACAATTAATATGTTTTGTTTTTAGTATTAAGGCCATAAAAATGTTTCAAAGAAAAATATTTTTTTCCAAAACAATAATTTTTTTTGCCAAAAAAAAATCATATCATTTTTGTTTGCAAAAAATTATTATTTTTTGTTTCAAAAGCTAGGGTTTATTTTATGATGAAATACGTGTGATGAAAAAGTGTGTACCTCGTGTTTATGGAATATCTAACTTAGATGTATGCAAAATGTAACTTGTTGAGACATGTCCAAATGTAACTCGCGCATAGAAAGATGTAACTCATGCACAAGAAGATATAACTCGCTCATAAGAAGATGTAGCTCCATATACTATCAAATGTAATTCCAGAAATTATCTATAAACATAACTTATTATATGAAAAATTTAATATAACTTCATGTTTTATGAAATTTAAATCGAAATAAACAAATTTAATGTCTTGAAAACACTAAAACATATCAAAGAGATAAGAAATATACATTTTTGCAAACGGATAAGAAATATACTATAGAAACAAAATTATGAATATGAAATACAAAGAATATTACAAAAAATATATATTCTATTGTAATTTCAATTAAAGATAGAAAGAAATAGAAAAATGTATGATTATGAAATACAATATACTTATTTATGTAGATTAATAAAATTTTGTAAAAATTATGTAAAGACAAAAAATGTAAATTCAATTGTATTTTAATTAGTTAAAAATAAAGATAAGAAAAATCACAAATAAATTTTTAGTTTATTGATGTAAAAGAGAAAAGAATTGAAGAAAATAGAAAAGAAAAATAAAAAGAGAAAGCACTAACCTGGAGGAAAAAGAAAGAAAGCTTCCGTAATATTGCACTGCATGGAGTTTGGGGAGGAAAAAAATGGCACTGTATTAAAACCACCATACCATGCGCATGGTATGTCGGTTGCACGGTATAATTTGCGATTCGAATATTATTAGGAAAACATTCTAATATTTTTCTCTCAAAATTGACTTGGAACTTGTAGGGATCTCAAAATTGACTTGAATATTATTCCCAAAAAGTGTCAATGGTGATGAGCTTGGACCCCAGAATAAGAGTCAAACTATGCAAACACATCCCAATTCCCAAACCAGACTTGGAACTAGTTACTAGTTAGGCCCAAAGTGGTACTTGACAGAGGCTCCCAGCAAAAATACCATAGGAGAGAACATGCAATGTAGTTCCTAGTTATCAGTTTACCACACCCATTCACTGTATGTTAATGTTTTATGCATGTGCAGTAACACACTTGTAAGTTGTGCAGCAAACTAAGGACTTGGCACCAATCATTACCTTGGAAAATTAAACATAAAGACCCACCAGATTAGCAGGGCTTTCTAAATAAAGAACTATCACCTTACACATGGTGAGGATGTTTTCTGTGAAGTTGTTTGGTTTTCGACATCCATGACGTCTTTTAAAATTACAAAAACAACTCTCGTCAGTCTGGTGAAAATATATTGTGACACATATTTCCTTCGAAAAAATCCAGATTAACATGATGGTCTAATTGACAGTCTGGGAACCATCAAAATAGTAGCGACAAGCTGAGCATTAGCAGCTTTTTAGAAGATGGGACAAAAATATTCCTTTATTTGCATCTCAAGTTCCAATCCATATCCCTCAATCGCAAAGTAAAGCAAAGTAACTGAGGAAAGAAGCCAGTATTAATCCATTGGCGTATGCAGAAGTGAGTCTAATACAAAAAGGTCTTGTTGTAGAAAAGGGAGTAAAATAAAAATACGTAGTACAAGTTATGCTGATGGGACGCAAGAACCAAACTTGTACCGTTTATAATCCAAATACACCAAATGGACTCATTTGCCTGCACAACAAAGCACATCTGAATCTCAGCAATATTTTCGTAACTTTAATAATGCTCATCATCATAACTTTAATAATGCTATATGTCTAAAAAAATCTCTTATGGTCACAGTTCAGATTTTTACACCAAGTATTTACAGCAATTGTAACAATCAAGACTTATGATCCACTCATAGAGAAACTGCCAGATTTAAAACATGGACTTGACAGCAAGAAATGTGTTTCATACAGCTAAGGTTGAACTTACTAGAGCGGTATTTCAAGTTACACCAAACCATTGGATGGCAGCACTTCCCTTTAGTATCAAAGTCAAATCATAAATTATGAAGATAATAAAGAGGGTCTGCAGAGGTTAGTTATTGAACTCTAAGCGTGCTCTTGTCGCATGGAAAGACAGAAAGATGTCTCTCAAAATTTAGTCCCAAAAGGTGAAGCAGACTCGCCTTACATAATCCACATAATTGGAACAAGCTCCTCAAATCAAATTTCTATGTGGAGTTCAGAATGTCGGGAGTTAAATTTGGGCTAAAAGGCTCTCCCAGAACTCCTTGAGAAGTAACAGATCATGGAACTAGAGGATTCAGAAATCCAACTTCTTCCTAGTTAAAAATATAGCCAAGGCCAAAGATGAACATTCAATAGGGTAGAGAGGTACTCAGGTGCTCAATCCCTACTTGAGTCATTTTTATTGATGGCAAATTGAGATCCTACAAATAGAGTTGTAAGAAATCAAAGGACATGGAAATGGTCAAATGGAGCTGTATGGTCTGGACTCCAATCTGAGAGTAAAATATTAGATCTAGCATTTGTTTTAACTTTTAAGAGTTTAGTTAGACCAACACTTTGGAATTATCCATCCTTTCTGTTTTACTCTAGTCATGTCCCTGGCATTGTCTCCATAATCTCAATGGGTGGAGGACTGTTGGTGACGTGATCATCACCCCATAAGTATGTGTCAAATAGAATGTCTTTTCTCATTTCCAATTTAATATCCCTTGTTATTTTACTTTGAAAAGAAATTAGAGAAGGAAAAACGTTTTAGATATGGCCCTGTGTCCTCGAAGTGTCTGGAACATATTTATTACATTGATGTCGTGATACTAGTGCAAAATGTTTCAGTTACATAATTACATTGAAGGGGAATAAGGTGTTCACAATTATTGATGAATAATACAAGTTGGGTTGTACCGAACCAAATAATTATCATATTGTTTTAGTTTGAGCTCAAATTTGAACTTAGCAAGCTTCAAAATCAATTCCAAGCTGAATTTAAAGTTCAAATTTTGTTCAAGCCGAGCTCTAGCATAGTAGTGTTCAGTTTGATAATTTTTTACTATCAAAGAGTAAATTCTATTTATGTGAAAACTTTAAACCTTTGGTATAATTTTCTAGTTTTAAATATAATCATTAACAGATAGAGCACCCAATCACTCATCGACAAGGGATACGCGATTAGTATTTGCATCAAACCACATTTCTTCTACATTCATATATGTTTGTCGAGTACTTGAGTGTCGAACATATATTGAGCAAAACTAAAGGCCAAATCTATGTTCAAGTTTGACTGGGCTCATTAACACCGCAAGATGGAGCCATGGAGGTGTTGGACTCCTGGCTTTGACAGCCAGTGCATGCAACAACCTACTACTTAGATACAGATATCTCGAATTTCTAAGATGTGAGTCTGTAAACAGAGGTTGTTACATGGATATATCTTAGAAAACTTTGGAAAAGTATGATGGAGTGATATGCTTGTGCAAACATAGTTAAAGTTAAGTCTTTTGCAAGCTGTAGAAGGATAATTTGCAATGGCTGTTGCAAGGAAGCTGATGGAGTATACGGGTCCAGACCCCATGACCCACATACTCAGAAGACTAAGAGGAGCACAGATGTCATCCAGTGGGCCCCCCGTCGACTAGATGGCACCCCATCGGCCAAAGAAGAGTCAATCCAGAATACACTCCAGAAGCCAAGGAGATGACTTGTCCTCCGTCGTCCAGTGCCTCCGTCGGCCACAGAGAGCTCATAGAGCCAGACTTCCACACTTAGCTAATATATTCGAATGTAATCAACCCAATAGAAGCCTTATATTGTAATGGGCCTCCCAAGCCCAAGACTTGGGAGTCCAGCCTATATTTTCCCTATAAATACTCCCCATAGGAGCCATGTAAAAGGTTGAAAATTCATTAATACATATCACTTCTCTCTCTAGCTCTCACTTCTCTCTAAGAGTTAATACTCTATCAGAAGCTTTATGTGTTAAAACTCAAGGTGTTTTCCTAAACTCTAACAATTAATTATCCTGAAAGTTGTTTAATATCTAGCAGGTGTTTTAAAGTGAATAGGATTATAGTAATGTGTATGTGTTGAATACCTTTGACTTTGAGACCATCAACTAAAATTTTGAGAGACTTTGCAATAAGGAATCTTAAATTCAGTCATTAATCACAAGCTCAACATGTTGTGTAATAAACTGATGTATTCACTCATGTAATAGTTGGTTTATTTTAACATTCCTTTTTAATTATAAATGACCACTACTTAATCGCATAAAGTTGATTAGTTGTTGATCTAATTTAACTAAAAGTAAAGTACTTAGCAGTTTATTCAATGTGAAGGCACTGGTTGGAAAACAATTACTACATGCTTTGGTTCTTGTAAGGTAAAACAACAAATAAAGGAGAATTGAGACCAACCATTGGTCCAATTAGTTTGGATGAGGTGGACCCTAATGAACATTTGTCTCACATAGAGGATGCAAATGAGGAATTATTGTTAATTGATACAGTCAACTTGGGGTGAAATCAAAAAGTTTGGGCCGTAGAAGAGATGTCTATTCGGTAAATAATGCTTGTAAAAAGTTATAGGAGAAGATTCAAAAAATGAAAAAAATACTTATAATTCAAAATGAAGGTTCGTGCACAAAGAAAAAAGAAAAGGAAAAAGGAAGAAAAAGAAAAGGAAAAGAAGAATTCAGATTTTGGGAAAGAAAATGATGATTCAATGTCTTCCACCTAAGAAAGAAGAAGAGCTACTTAAGCAACTTACCTCCTAGAGCAGGTCATCTGCCAGTGAACTGGCTGTTTACTAAAGTACACAGTTGTATGTGACAGTGTGACACTTCATTTAGTAGTTAGTACATGAGCTAATTTTGATGGATGGCTAATTTTGACCCTTTTCCTCTTTTAATATTGAGAACTTTGATTTGATGCTCGCCCATCCATATTACTTTTTGGTTTTTAATAAAAGGCAACAATAAGTTTTGCAAATTTAAATTTAAAACAATGTAGTGCTACGACCCTATGTCCCTTTGGTGCACATAACAATTTAAAATTGTATCCATAGAGCTCCTCGTCTAGTTTGATTCAATGATGACTGCTGCCTCATCATCATCCAGGCAAAGTGTTATCGTAGCGGATGGCAAAATTACCTTCTGCCACAACCCGCTATTCTTCAAAAATTTCATATGGCGGCCAACTTATATTTCCGCTGCCACCATGGCCACCATTTGACAACATTGCAGCACTGCATACAAAGAGGAGAAATCCAATCATCTAGGTCATTGAAAATGACAGCATTGAGTCTATGACTCTTGAAGTCAAGAATTTGATGGCTGCTTCTCCCTCATCTACTGGAAGGAGGAACCAATGATACTTGCATAGTTTAAACAAAGAGAGGATGCCCACCATGAATGTCTCTTCTTTCCATGTCAGTGATGATGTGGTTCAATGCAAGCTACCCAGTAAATGGTGGCCTTTATTGAATATTTGCATGATTTACAAAAATACGGAGTATAATGGTTTAATTAAAACCATATTTAGTTTCAACATCTAGTAGCACTTAAGCTAAAGGTACATCACCGGCCCTTGTCTGGGAAAAAGCTCACGACTGAACGTACAATTCACAGTGACCACCAATTACTATTTTTCAACTTTCCAAGATTTTTTGTAACATTCAGTACAAGGTTAATATGCTAATATAAGCTTTAGCTTAGGAGTATATTTTTATACACAGGAAAGGCTCTTAGGAGTGTATTAACTTTATCATAATCTAGCTCAAACCAGCTAATAGTTTTAGGTAGATCATACTTACACATACTTAGTTACACCAAATTGGTTTATAATATTTAACAGGTAGATCACACATTATATTTCACAATTATTCCGATTATTCAATTTCTCTTCATAGTTCGTAAAAGGAAATTTCGTTGCCTGACACCACCTTCTCCTAGTCTTAGTGATAAAAAAAAGTGAACTTTGCTTAACGATACCTGACACCAATTGAGAGAATAGCCAATTTCATTGCGACTCGGCCTTAGGACCTGAAATTTAAAAATCAAGCTAGAATGAATATAAATCATGCGGGAATCCCGAATATCGGAAAACCGGAAGTTTGAGAACACAGAGTATACCATGGAGAGATGGGGGGCGGTGGTCCTTTCCCCAGCCGACGCCACGAGTGGCGTCGAGGTACTGGTGGACGAGGTGGCGGCACTTCTGGAGGTGGTTGACACCCTCGATCCGGTAGCACCAGCGCACCTTCTCGCGGAGAATCTTGGCCTTCTCGATGTCGACCCACTTCTCCCGCACCAGATGCTCCCTCATCTCTAGCATAGCAACCGGGTCCTTATATGGGTTATCCGGGTCGAAGTCATCCGGAGCTCCCTCATCGAACACCACACCCTTTTTCCTCCCCATTCTCAATCGCTCTCTCTCGCCTCTCTGGCCTCTCTCGCCCCCTCTGTCTGTGGGAGTGTGGAGTTTTCAGAAATGTGAACACTGCAGGGATTGAGCTTATTGGAGCGTTTGAGCTATGAAATTCGTGGCAACTCCTACACCCGATGATCTTCTACATATTTTAGATGCTCTGACATTATTTTACTCACTCCATCAAAAAGTATTCTTTAAAGGAAATTGCCAAAAAAGTTGCTCATATTTAAATGAAAAATTCACAATTTTTATGATCTAGTTACTGTCAACCTTTCAAAATATTGGCATGGTTAAAATTTGATATTGCCACTATTAGTATATATGTTCTGTCAACAATCACATTTTAGAGATATATGTACTTGATCACATTCAGGTTTATATATTTGATATATACAGTATTACACATTTATGATTAAGTATTTCGATTGTCAATATCTTATTCATAATTGTGTTCCCTTGGACTTATGTTGTCAATAAATAAGTGAGAGCTTATATGATATAACATAAGGTCCTAAAATATCCTCAACCAATGATCATCAAGAATGACATATTGATGATATGCGATAAGATTGATATGTGAACTGCATCATACTTTTAGAAAGTATAATTAGTCTCACGACTATGAGTTCATGTAATTCTTGATGGTCACATAGATATTTTAGAGAATATTGACATACCCACCGAGAAATCATTTGATAAGTTCTATTCATGTGTTTATGGGATTATCGGCGTATAGAGTAGTGTAATACTCCTCCGACTTGAGGTCAATACGAACTACATGTGCGGAGTGATGTGCTTTAATCATGACCAACGCTTGCACTCCAACCGAGGTAGATACGACATGTGTTGGGTGCATCACAAACCACATGGAGCAGTAGTTGAGCCAAGAAATGATTCATTCTTCATAATAGATTAAGAAAGAACATTCTACTTCTCATATCTAGATGGATCGTAAAGTCATTGGCCAATGCAAAGATATATTCGTTTTGGATATCGAATATGATCATTATGGATCATCTAGAAAGATCGAGAGATAGAGACTAAGTTATTGGAATAAACACAATATCAAGTTTTAGACTTAGTTGAATGTTCGTTGAATGAAAGCACTGTATTACCGTGAATTCTATATTACAAGGAGTTTGAATGGTCCTCGCAAACGTCCTTATATATTATGTTTGTTTGGATAATCGTCTAGAGATTCGCTAAGACCTTAATTTGATTAGTGCTTAATATATAAGGTCTTATGGGTCATACAACAAGTTATTATACCTTCCGATTGAATTGTTAGAAGGAATTAAATAATATTTAATTCGTAATACTGAAAATGGATTAAATATTAATTAGATTAAACATATTTATTTCATGAAGTTGAAGGAGAGTTCTATTTGATAGAATTAATTAAGTAAGATAAATTAGATTTATTATACTTAATTAAGATGTATTTATTATTAAATAAATTTGTATTTTCTTTAATTTGGATTAAAAGAAAAATAAAAAAACTAGATATAAATAATAATGAATAGAGAATGTGGTGCAGCCATTGCACGTACATCTCTATTATTATACTTATATTCTCACTTTGTTACATTTATTTAATTAAAAATTAGATTTTGGTCCTGTTAGGACTAAAACTCATTAATGAGCAAGACTTTAATTATGATTGGGAAACTAGTTTAGAACTAATATAAATACATCATCATCCTTCATAATTTAGAGATCAGTTTTCTAGATTCATTATTATTAGTTTATTTTCTTGCGAAGAGATTTCCTAGCCTTTCTCTATGGGAGATCTAACTGTTCGTTCGGAAAGGAGAAATCACGTGGATACCTTAAGGTCAAGGATTATCACCCCTATGCTGAAAGATCTGTAAGTTCTAACTCAGATCTGTTATTATTATCATATTCGTTGTTTTGTCATAACCAGGAAAGATCTGTTTGGAAAAATTTTAAACTTCTGTTGTTGTACTTTCAAGGTATGTTACATCTGATGGGGTTATGGGACTAGGCCCAGAGCCTAATCGGCCCAGGCCCCGAACTTGGACCAGCAGGCCCAAGCCCAGTGATCCAGAGCTCATTCTGACCCAACCGATCAGGCCCATCAAAGAGTGAAAGCCCAGGGCGGCCTGTCGTCCAGCCCAGCAGGGAGCCTGCCTACCAGCCCAGTCAGCAGCCTGCCGTCCAACCCAGCAGGGAGCCAGCCTACCAGTCCAGTCGACAGCCTGCCGTCCAGCCCGACCAGCGGCCTGCCTTCCAGCCTGGCCAGGCGTCTGCCTCCAGCCTAGCAGGGAGCCTGCCTACCAGCCCAGTCAGCAGCCTGCCGTCCTGCCCGGCCAGCGGTCTGCCTTCCAGCCTGGCCAGGCGCCTGCCTCCAGCCCAGTGGGGAGCCTGTCTTCCAGCCCAGTGGGGAGCCTGCCTTCCGGCCTAGCCAGGATCCTGCCGACCACCAGCCCAGCTGGGAGCCTGCGGTCCAGCCCAACTGGGAGCCTGCGGTCCAGCCCAGGTGGGAGCCTGCCTCCAGCCCAACGGGGAGCCTGCCTTCCAGCCTACCCAGGAGCCTGCCTTCCAGCCTACCCGGGAGCCTGCCTTCAACCCGGTCAGAAGCCTTACTCCAGCCTAGCGGGAAGCCCACCGTCTAGTCCAGCAGGAGGGAGCTCAAGCGTCCAGCCTGCCAGCCAGGCTGACCTGCCAGCCAGGAAGAGTAACGGCCAACAATCAATGCGCGACTTAATTATGTGTTTAATTCCGTATTAATGTTGTAATTAATTTAGTCATTATTATGTTCGGCAGTTACCATTTGTAATCGCCTATAAAAGGCAATTCGAATTTCAAATATAGATATGCTATTTCTGGCTAACTTTCCATATTCGTACTTTCCTAATTCTTGCTTGAGTGTCGTACGTAGCTTTCTAAAAGTCTACGAGCGTCCTATTTTGGACCAACATTGGTGCTTTCATTGAGAGCCTCTATTGTCTCTCACATCACTTGAGTAGGAATCACACAGGAAGATGGCCGGAATCTCGTCTCGACGTGACCATGTCTCAGTCCACACCGAGGAGTCCGCCCGGTCTGGCCGCCAGCGTGCCCTCGACAACCATGCACAGGGCAGGAGGACGGCGCACCAAGGCGACCTTCGGAACCAATTATCAGGCCACGGCGACCTAAGGGCGACGCTCAACCACACCCAAGGTGAGCGCTCGGTCCACAGCCGGCGGGGGGAGGCCGACGTCATACTCCGCGCATGGACCCGGCTCGACTCAATGCCGGGGTGGAAGCCCTGCAGGAGGCAACTCGGGTTCTGGGGACCTTGGCTCAAAATTTCCAACAGATGGTGTCCGTCAACAGACGCCAGCGGATGTGGAGGTGTCCTCCAGGCGGCGTGATGAGCGACGCTCTGGACCCTACCAAAACAGGGGGAAGAAGTCTCCCATCGGCGGGGGGAAGAAGTATCCCAGCAGCCTAGCCGACCCCATTGGCAGACAAGGAGGGGCGCCCAGCAGGGGCGCCCAACGCAGATGGAAGGAGGCGAGCCCTCTCGCCACTCTCACCGGGCGAGCAGTCGAACTGGCTCCACGGAGAGGCAAAACGTGTGGCCCCGACCTCACGTGCACGGACGACTTGGAGGTGCCGCCGGACATGCCCAGCCCCGCGCTGGAGTTGTCCGGGGGAACCCACCGCCGGCCGAGGTGGAAGATCTACGACAGCGCCTTGACGAGTTGAGAAGGAGGGTCGTCGGGGGGAGCCCTACACGACCGACCTCCGGATACCCGAACCCTTCACCCGGGCGGTCATGGATGCGCCATTGCCGAGGGGCTACAAGCCCTGCGCCATTGAAGCATACAAGGGCGCTTCTGACCCCCAGCATCATGTATCTCGGTACCTTTCCTACATGGTCATGATGGGGTACGAGGACGCCATCCGATGTCGCGGTTTCTCCGCCACTTTGGATGGCCCGGCTCGTGAATGGTATGACTCTCTACCTGACGGGAGTATCACGAATTTCCGTGAGTTGGCTCAGCGCTTTCTCTTGAGGTTCGCGAGCTCCCGAGACGTCAAGAAAAACTTCAGCCACATGTTCGGCCTAAAACAGGGGAAGAAGGAATCATTGTCGACCTTCCTAGCGAGGTGGAGGGCCGAGTCAGTCAAGGTTGAGGGCCTTGATGACAGGACCGGGGTGGCCATGCTCACAAACTCTATCCGATCGGGCGAGCTTTACAAAGATTTCGTCAGAAGTCCCCCTACCTCGTACGAGGAGGCGCTCGGCCGTGCCGACCGGCAAGCTGAGGCAGAGGACGCCTTGTAGAGGAAAAGAGACGAGGAAGAAGGTGCAAAAGAAGAGAAGAAGAAGGAAGCCGGTTCGGGTGCTGAGAAAGCTGACGGCAAAGCTAGCAACAAAAACAACAAATACAAAGGTAACAAAAGTAGAGGCAAGGGCAAGGCGGACGTCCCGAGCGGACCGCTACAGCCCTTGCTCAGCCGGTCGGAGCCATCCTCGACTACGCGGAGGAGCAAGGTTTAGTCGACTTTCCGGAGGAGTGTGATGTGGTGACTGCCAAGCGCAACCACGACCAATATTGTCGATTCCATCGGAGAGCAGGGCATGATACAGATGATTGCGTCATTCTCCGGCGGCAAATTGAAGAACTCATCCAGAAAGGGTACCTGGGCCAATTCGTTGGCAAACAAGGAGGCATCCCGCAGAAGAGGAGCCTGACGTGGCAGCGGTCCGACCAAGCTACCACGTCAAAGGAGACACCGCCTGCCAAGAAGCGGGATCTCGGCACCTTCTCCGAGGAAGACGATGCTGACCTAGGGAACGGTCCCCGGAAGTACCATCGATGTTCATTCATATTCGGGGGACCCCAGGGAGGCGACACCTCTGGAGAGCGGAAGCAGTGGGCCCGAGCCCTATACGTGGGGGAGATAAACAGGCCTCCCGCCGACAAGAGGGTGAAGAGGGACCCCATCTTCTTCACCGACGTAGATTTGCCGCCGATGCCTCCGCCACACAGGGATGCCTTGGTCATCAAGGTCGAAATCAACGACACGATCGTCCACCGAGTCCTGGTGGACAATGGGAGCTCCGTTAACATCATGTACTATGACACCTTCCAAGGTCTCAGACTGGACCGAAAAGACTTGATCCCGGTGAGAACCCCACTCTCGGGCTTCACCGGGGACTCCATTGAGTCGGAGGGCAGCATAGTCCTCCCCGTGATG